AAATCACTGAAATGAAAAAGTCAATGGATGGGTTCAAAAGGAGAATAGAGGTAATAGAGAAGAGAATCAGTAAGTGTAAGATAGAAGACTAGAAATCACTCAGTCTGAACAAGAGAGAGAATAGCCTAATGAAAAATAAAAAGATTTCAAGGGACCAGTGGGAATTTAACACAAATGACCTACCAAGTATGTTATCAAAGTTCTGGAAAGAAGAAAGAAGGCAGAAATGAAAAAAGTATGAGCTACAATGTTCCTACATTTAGCAAATGATATAAACTTAAGGGAGTTAAGAGTCATTTCAAGAGGATAAATCCAAAGAAATTCATAGCAAAACACTTGAGAGAAAAATTATGAAAACGTAAGACAGAAAAAATATCTTGAAAACAAACTAAACACTTTATAGAGAGTAAAAAAATAGAATGACAGTGAATTTAATATAAGAAATCATAAAGGACAGAAAAGATATTTTTCAGTGATGGAATAAGTAATATTAGAACATCAAGAAGGAAGAAAAGAGAGTTGAAAAATACAAATGAAGATGATAAAAAACTGTCTAAGACTGTAATTATAGTTATAGAAAATCTGAGGAAAAAATATTGATAAAAACGAAAATATTAGCACACAACATTGAACCATGGGAATACTTGCAAGGGTGATAAGAGGCCACCCTAAAAGCCTCTCTCCCTCTCGGAGAGCCTGGCAAGCTACTGAGAGTATCTCGCCCACAAGGTAGACCCTGGCAAACTATCCATGTCATATTCGATATGGCAAAGCCAGTAAATACAATGAGTCTCACTGCCCTGGCCCTGAAAGAGCCACCAATATGGCAACGTTAAGAAGGAGGAGGAAGGAGAGGCTGATAAAATCTCAAGGCCGAAGTAGGCTGCCAAAATGAAGAAAGACAAAAATGATGGTCTGTACTTTCAATGCACGTTTGCTAGCATTGGATACATCCATCGAGGACCTGATGGTACAAACATGAAAGATCAAGTACGACATCACTGATGTGACAGAGACGAGAAGGCATCAATCACATCACGCCATTTTCAACACTCGGAACATGCAACAAAAGAGGCTTCGGAGGTGCTGGTGTCCTTGTCAACATGGATTTGGTCATGAGCATTGATTCATTTGAATGCCTAACAATCCGAACTGGATGATTACACTTGAATAGATATGGCTCACTGCCGGCAGTTTCTATCTTTGTTGTCTATGCAACAACATCCAATTACGATGAAGGAGAAATTGAGAAATTCTACATGGAGCTGGAGAAGTTCTATAAAAAAGACCACACCTTCTACAGGATCATTGTCGGTGATTTTAATGCCAAGATAGGACCAAAAAGATGGGCCGAAGAAGTCTACATCTGGACCCATGGCCTAGAATGGAACAGACAGGATGAGAGATTGTCTGAGTTCATCATGTTGACCAAGACCATCTATGGTAACTCACAGTTTCAGAAGACTGAATCTAAACATTGGACATGGGAGTCTCCCGGTAGAGGGTTCCACAATGAAACTGAACACATCATATTCAATCGACAGTTTTGCCTGACCGAGATTGCTGTTGTCCCAAAATTCCAAACGGGATCAGACCACTGTCTTTTTCATGCAAAATTCTACTTCATAGAGCAGGGAGAAAGGGCTGCAAAGTTCAAGAAGAGAACTCCCAGAACTACGCCAACTGGGAGCTCTTTGGCACTATTGTGGCAACATGGGAAAAAGGCCATCATTGACCACATTGACAAAGAATACGATAGACTGGTTCAGCACCAACATGATTGTGCAAGGAATGCCGAGAGAGATAATCACCAAAAAATGTCTGTCTTCGAAAACTCTTGAGCTTATTCGCCAACATGGCTTGGCTCAAGCCTCAGGCAACCACAAGCGAACATCTGAGCTCACAAAGCAGTGCAGAAAAGCAATAATGGAAGACCTCAAAGAGAGAAGAGTGGCAGTGCTGGCAGATGCAGCAGAAGCCAGGAAGAGCAACACCAGCCTGTCCTTCTCCAATTACAAGACCAAGATGACTGCCCTCCAACATGCTGATGGATCTATCACATCTTCCAGAAGAGCAATGGAGAAGACTATCCATGACTTCTACTTGGATCTCTTTGAGAGTCATATCCACCTGCCCACATGCCAAATTCCGCAGGATGGATATGTCGTTCCCAATGTTCTCCCTTCAGAAATCCCGCACGCCATTTTGTTAGGAAAGAAGCGAACAGCACCTGGTCCAGACAAGGTCACCTGAAGAATACCTGAAGAATCTGAGGTCAATACTCATCAATACACTGGTTCAGCTCTTCACGTGCTACCTGTCTGAATGTAAGGTTCCATTCCAATGGAAAACCAGCAGGACTATACTACTGTACAAGAAGGGAGACATCCACAACATTGGCAACTATCGCCTGATCTGCCTGTTGCCTGTCATTGACAAGCTATTCACTTGAGTCATCCTGAATAGGATTGTCAGAACACGAGATGAAGGAAAACCATGAGAGCAAGCCGGGTTCTGCAAAGGATTAAGCACGATTGACCATATCCACACGATAACCAAGCTCATTGAGGTTTCTTAGGAGTTCAAGATGCCGCTCTGTCTAATGTTCATTGATTTAAAGAAGGTCTTTGATTCTGTTGAGATGGAAGCGGTCATCGAAGCCCTAGCCAAACAGGGCATTCAAACAATACATCAGGATCCTCCATGAGCTGTATTACGGATTCACTACCAGGATCTCACCATTATACAAAAAAGTTATCATCCATGTCAAGAGAGGGGTTTGGCAGGGTGATACCATTTCACCAAAACTCTTCAGTGCCACCCTCTAGAACCTCATGCAATGATTGGAATGGGAAGGAATGGGAGTGAAGATAGACGGTCAGCAACTACACCACCTCCGCTTTGCTGATGATGACATTGATCTAATAACACCAAACATTAGCCAAGCAGCACAAATGATGGCCAACTTCGACCGTGAGTGTGGAAAGGTCAAATTACAACTGAATCTCACAAAGACAATGTTTTTGAGAAACGCTCTCATTCCTGACGTTCCATTCACTCTCAGTGGGACAAACATCTCCGAATGCAACCATTATGTGTACCTAGTTCGAGAAGTCAACATGACGAATGATTTGGCATCTGAGTTGTGCAGGAGGATGAGAGCAGCGTAGAATGCCTTCAAGAGTATCAAAGAAATAGCTAAGAGGAGGAAGAAAAAACCTCTAGCTCCAGGCACATCTCTTCGATTCCACTGTTCTTCCTGCATTAGCATACGCCTCAGAGACCTGGGCCCTACAAAAACACGATGAGAATGCTATTCGGGACTCCCAAAGAGGAATCAAAAGAGCTATGCTTGGAGTATCATGCTTCACTCAAATGAGAGAAAGAATCCGGAGTTCCAACCTCCATCGACGGTCAAGAATCAGGGATGCTGTCTCATTTGCCAAGGTGTCAAAAATCAGATGGGCTGGACATGTAATGTGATTTGGAGATGACTGCTGGACTAGAGCCATTACCTACTGGACTCCACCGGACGACAAAAGATCGTGTAGCCACCCACCTACGAGATGGTCAGACTTCTTCATCAAGATCCTGAATGATCGGTTTGAGGCTCTTTCTGTTCCTATAATGCACAGATGCCATTGGGCTACACTACACAACGGGGATGAATGGAGACATTACTGGCACCCGCTCGAGCAAATTGATGAGAAATGGGAAGTCAAGTGATAAAGTGATTAGCACACAAGGCTCTATCTGTAACATGTTAGTAATCTCTTATACAAGGGCATAACGGCTCTAGGGTGAGATACAACAATCTTCACACACTTTCCTCTGAGAAAACTTTTCTGGATCATTTTTAGTGGATTATTTATAACAAGCAATACAAAAACAATTACATAGGACCTGCTTTGGGGGCACATTTGGGTGGTGGTGAGAAAATTCGAAATAATGGTGGTAGGAAGGTGTAATGGTAGTGGGATTGGATTGGTGTTGTAATACTGAATGTAATAAATTATTGTGAACAAATTTTAAAAAAAAAGAGTATCTGTGATAATACCAAAATCTACTTACTTACAGACTTTTAAATGGGTGAATTGGATGATATGTATATGATAACTCAATATAGCAAATTTTATTCAACTTAATTAACTGGGAGGAGGATGCTTACAAGTGGTGCTCAAGGTGCCCACGGCCACTTTTTGCAATTCTCCTCCAACTGGGCCATTTTCTGCTGCTGCTACTGCTCAGACCTTTATTCTGCCAACCCCCCGCCAATGGCCACACAGCCAGTGCTCAGGGGCCTCGAGAGTTGCAACCAGCAATGTTCAGAGGCCTGTGGTATGAGATGAACCCTGGGGCATCACTCTAGCTCCACAGCCACTATTTAAAACTACAATAGTAATAGTCAGAGCCAGAGTGATAGTGCAGCAAGTAAGGCATTGCCTTGCACAAGGCAGATCCAGGTTCAATCACCAGCATTCCGTATGGTCCTCTAAGTACTGCCAGGAATGATTCTTGAGTGCAGAGCCAGGAATAAGCCCTGAGCACTCAGATGTGGCCCCCAAACCAAAAATTTTTAAAATGCTCTCAATTATTACAAGTATGAAGTCAGAGAGGTTTAGAATATCAGTCAGTTTTCTGCTGCCTTTACACAGCTTCAAGGAGTCTGTTATCTATGTAGGATTGGTTATTCTCTTTGAATTCATAGGGTTTGTCTCAAGCCATTAGTTGGTTACCAAGATGTTGGCAGAATGAGAACTAGAAGAATCGCAGGCTAGACTTAAATAGAAGTGAGTGCTTTATTTGTCTGAATATATTAATATTTGAATAACTTCAAATGACAACGTTTTCTCTAATTATCTATTAATGATTTGGAATGATCCACCACTTACTATAATTCTTCCTGTTTCCTGGCTATTTTGAGAATTGAGTTAACTATGGAAATTATGAATTTAGTATAATAAGAAATGATCCCACAACGCACTGAAATTCAGACTTACCTCTATTTCTTTTCTTAATTTTTCATGTGTCTGTTTTTCTTCTTCAAGGAAACAGGTTTTTTCAACAATAGATTCTTTTATAGCTGTAATTTTATCCTTTATCTTTGTAATGTCTTCCTGTATGTTTAAAAAAATTTTAAATACCAAATCAAGCAATGATCGATCTAAATTCAGAATTTTCAGTGTTTCTATAATTTTAGAAAATTCACCATCACATTTAATTTTAGAAAATTACTTCTATTTGGTATAAAAAATAAAGAACAGCTAGCAATTAAAATAAATTTCACATTTTAAAAATTGAAATGAAAATCAAGAAAGGTGGAAACTGCCTATCAAAACTGAAAAGGATCCTTTTTATTCTCTAGCAAAAAAATAATAGCTACTTTAAGTATTATCTCCCACTGTGTTCAAAGAACAGTAAAAAAAAAAAAGATGCTTAAGGTGCAATTATTAACTCATATTGTTTGATAACAGCATTAAGAATATTAAATTAATTTGAATTGCTCTGGATCCATTAGTTTAGAAAACTACAGATTCAAAATTTTTTGTGACCAACCTTCTCTGTAACAACTGGATCAATTGTTCACAGTGATTTTGCTTGACTAAACATTTTTGTTAATTCACAGGGAGACTTAGAGACATTAAGTTTATGCATACACAATTGGCACAGTTATTGTAGAATTCATATACTTATATATAACATTTTAAAAGCTGTTAAAATAATTTTGAAATTATAGTAGCTATGGCTATAAATTTTAAGTTAAATTATCTTTTATAAGTCTACTTGTTTGTAAAAGCACTTACAAAAAATGAAGCAACAGAAAAAGTTTTGGTATGTGATATTTCAAACCTGTTCTTGTTTCATGCGTTTTCCTTCTGGATTTTGGAGATCTTGCATAAGTTCCTCCTTCATTATCTTTAGTTTTTTTACAAGATCTTGTTTTTCACGGAGTTCAATCATGAATGGCCATTTGCTTTCTACTTCCCTCAAATTCTCTTTATGTACTTTTATTTTTGCGTAATACTCATTATATTTTGCCATGTGTTCCTCAAAATCTTCTTGGGCTGCTTCTATGTCATAGTTAAGCTTTACATTTTCTGTATGTAAGGATTTGAGTTGAGTTCCCAAATTTTCACAATGAAATTTGGTATTCTCTATGGCAGAATCTTGCTGATAAATTTTATGTTCTGTTTCTTGAATTTCTGCTGAGACAGAAGCTATTTGTTTTTCAAGCTCATGAAATTCATTCTGTAATATATTTTAACATTATCATTATTAATTTATAATATTCAATGTAAGAAAAACTGTTTTTATCCATAATACATATAGGAAAATGACAACATGAAAAAGGATGCATAATAGGAGAAAACATAATAAAATATTTTATAATATCATAGATATCCCAGTTGTTATATTTTTACGTAAGCATAATCTAAATATTAAAATTTTACCATCAGTCTGAAACTTAAAATTTTATTCGTAAAAAAATTCACAATAATTTTAATAAGATATTTATGAGGGATCAGAGAAATAGTACCACAGATAAGGTGCCTGCCTTGCATGAGGCTGACTGAGGGTCAATCATCAATACCCCATACGGTCACTTGAATCCATCAGGAATGATCCTGAGTGCAGTCAGGAGTAAGCCCTGAGCATTGTCATAAATGAAAAACATAAACAAAAAAATAATATGTATATTGGTACCAGAAGTATATAGTGAGTAGACAACATGATAAAAATGACAGTTGAGTAAAAAAATCAGAAGATCCATGTTCTAGCATTCTTTAATTTGTAACTAGCCTATCATAAATAATAAACTTAAGTTACCCTATTCAAACCTCAATTTCTTCACCTGTAACACAAGCATCAGTTAGCTATCTTACCTTTCTGGGATATCTGGCATTTCTAACTAACATCAAATTTTAAAGCATATTTTTGAAACATTGGTTTAAGAGTTCTCACATGTCTATGAGCACTGTGGTAGAGGAAGGACAGAGAGAATAGTCACACAAAAAGAAATATAATTCTTATGAAAGAGCAGAAATGTACTGAAGGAAAAAATGACTAAAGCCAGTGAAAACAGTTAGCTGTTTTTAACTGTTTACTACAACGGTCCAGGAAAGAGATGAGATTATAGCCAAAATGTATTCTTTGCTAAAGGTAGTTGATATAATGAAAGAATTTTTAAGAAATATTTATACACCATGATAGTATAATTAACATAATTATATCTCTGTGGATACATTCGTAACTTAATAACTTAAGCCAAAGTTAAAACTCAGCCTTAGACTATCCTCAGGGTTCCCGTCATGATGACTCATATATTTACAAATATTAATTTTTTTTAATCCTCGTGAAAACCTTATAAAGAAGTCCCTGTATATTTTTATATTACTTCTTATTTACAAATGACAAAAGGTAGCACTAGGAAATTAAACCACAGAATCAGAAGTAGCAAATCTTGTCTTTAAAACTAGCAGATCAGGGCAAAAGTAATAGTACAGTGGTTGGCATTTGCCTTGCACACAACCCGCCTGGTTTTAATTCTCTGTGCCCAGTTAGGATTGATCCATGAGCACAGAGTCATGAGTTAGGCCTGAGCACTGCAGTGTGTGGCCCAAAACAACAAGATAAACAAGAACAAAAAAACCTGAGTAGATTAGTTCTAAAGTGTATTCTTTTTATTTTTGTGATACATATAATAAAAATCTTTACAAAGCATAAGGTAAAAGACACTGTATCCTTTAAGTCTCTTTAGTTATAGTAAGAGTATAACTAATTAATCTGAAGGCAAAAATAAGCATGGCTTCCATGTATTCATTGTAGTGGAATTATGAATATATTTTGGAAATATAAGGAATACAGAAATTCTCCTAATCTACTTGAAATGTTAATTTACAACTAGTACTCAAAGTTGTAACTTAAAAAATACTGGCTTTAGAAATTAACGTTTTCATAATGCAGCATTTTGGGAAAACTATCAACTGGAAGTTTAAAATAACTCTACTTGTCATATTAGATTTTATATACTTATAAAAATAATGATGTTGCTGAATCCTTATACATTAGGTATGCAAAATGCTTGATAAACCTTACTGCTCATATATAGGGAATCTGAATAATTAAGAATTAAATATTTAAAATATGAACATTACCTCCAAAACTAAATATACTTAACAATTTTATTATTAATTTAATTAAAATAAAATTTATATTAAATACGAAATTTAAAAAAGCACTCATTTAAAAGACTATCTGAAATATATTACCTGCAAATGAAACAGAAGTTTTTTGCTTTTCTCTATTTCTGAGGTTTGTGATTGTTGTTGCTTTGCAACTTGTTCTACAACATCTATTAATGAAGATGTATCTTGTTTAGCTGTAGCTAGGCAGAAGAATAAAGAACATAATAGAAATTTTAATGCAGAATCTAAATTATAGTTCTTTATGCAAAATCATGAAAAAGCAGATGTTTCCTCATAAATAAACTAGATGCAGGAATGGTAATCTTTACTTATGACTATAAACAAAGACACAATCAAAGGTAATAACAGTAATAGATAATTAAAAATTGCCTAATGCAATTTGTAGCTTGTGCCTTCATGGAACAATATAAATATCCTGACTGTGTTAATTTTTTTTATCCAATGCACTGAACATATAATATAATTATTTTTCTGCTGTAACAACTATATAGCAATTATAATTGAATTTTATTATAGACCAACATTACATTTATACCTGCTATACATAGTGTATATGTTTTTTCTAATAAAAGTTATATTTCTCTCTAGTCTAACTTGTTATTTTAACAATTTTTTAATTGAATCACTGTGAGAACAGTTACACAGCTTTTAAGTCACAGTCACACAATGATCAAACACCCAACCCTTCAACAGTGTACATGTTCCACCACCAAGTATAGCCCCCATCTTACCCCTCCCCCTGCTTGTGCAGTAGACAATTTCCACTTTACTCTCTCTCTCTACTTTGATTCCATTCAATTTTTGACAGAAGACCCACCATTATTTGGAATTTTCCCCCAACAATCAGACCTATTGAAAAGGCATCATTAGATAATTTGTTTTCTCTTGCTGATAATGAAGAGCACATGATGTCATGCGGGCACAAGAGCAGCCGCGCAATTTTGGATTTCTGATATTTTAGGAACTATGTTCGGAGGAATTTCTGTCACAAGCCACTGGATTCCAAGATTGGTTTGTGTGCCTCTGGGGTTGTGGCCATTCCAGAGCAGGAGGAGCCTTTTGTGGGCAGCAACTCAGGGTCTCGACTGGGTGGGGAGAGGGGCCAACCCTACCCCCTCATCCCATGAGGCTCGGCGCATCTCATCACTGCAGGCTCGTACTTTAGTTCAATAGTTAACAGAATTATTATGAAGGACTTTTTTGCTATGGTTTATCTTTTATTCATTTATTAAGGCTTAGTTACCTTCTTCGGCAGGCTGGAGCGATAGCACAGTGGGTAGGGCGTTTGCCTTACACACAGCCAACATGGCTGACCCGAGTTTGATTTCTCCGCCCCTCTTGGAGAGCCTGGCAAGCTACCGAGAGTATCTTGCCCGCACGGCAAAGCCTGGCAAGCTACCCGAGACGTATTCAATATGCCAAACACAGTAACAAGTCTCACAATGTTACTGGGCCCGCTCGAGCAAATCGATGAACAACACAAGGAGCATGAGTTACCTTCTTCAGTAACTTCTTGATTTTTATTTTCTTTTTTGCCTGACATTCTTCTATTTTCTCAGCCCCTTTTGGCTCACCTTTTCTTACTCCTATAAATCAACCAATGTTAATATTTCAATTTAATTTTTCCTGTGATATATTAGTGGTCTTAAAAGTAAACTAATTTTCAGCTACTTCATAGGATGACAGTATTTCACCATAGTACCAAAAGTATCTCAATGCAATGATTGAGATACCTTTGGGAAAAAGTAGAAATATATTTGAATCTTAATTCTTCATCTTTTGAATTGTTACAATTTGAGAAGTTTCTTAATTTCTTTGATTGTATATATCCCTCTCTAAAAAAAAACCATTGTAATGGTCATATATATTACATATATATCGATGTATCTCTATACATATATTACATGTTCATCATGGTACATGACCTATGTAGCAATTTATTTATTATGGATCAGAATCTCTGTCCCACCAGTATTATGATGAAATCAATTCTGATGCTATAAGAAAAATCTTTGAGAAACAGTGCTCAGATGGATTATCCATTTCCTCCAAAGTTATCTGATATAAGGAATATGACATTCCTGTCCAGTGCTATTCTGACTGTATTCTCATAAATTGGTTTAAAATCATATTTCATTTAAAAAATTGCTGAGTATCTGATAAGATGAAGATGTAGAAACTTTTCTCCTTTTGGACATGATGGGAATTACTTTCTCTACCAATATAGCAAATAGATGCTATGCTGACAGAACTAAAATTTCATTACCAACTTTAGAAAGGTGTCTGCATTTACATGTTCATCCTACATAGAGAAAATTGTGAATTTATATGATTAATAAAATTAAATCAATTCTCCTAAATGCATTCAGTTAGCAATTTTATCTATTATTTGTCATTTATTTATATTAATCATTTAGATGAATTATCCTTTAAAAATCGAAGTTAATTTTTATGGAAGCTGTAAATTTTTCCAGGTCATAGTAAAGCCACAATATTTATAAACGTACTGAAGAGAACTATTATAATAGTAAGACACATTAAACCTAATGAAGAGAATTATTATAATAGTAAGACACATGTAAGAAAAGTTCCACAGTAAAATGTATAAAGTCACTAACTATCTAGTTTTAAATTGCTTTTTAGTTTTTATACTTTGGTAACATACTGACAACAGTATTACCATTGGTAATGTGCAGTTACCACACCTAAACACCACCAAAATGCCCAAGATTTAAGATTATTTCTAGTCCACCTCATCAATTTCCTTCCATTCCCCCTGGTTACCTCAGTCCTAAGATTCAAAGTAAAGGTTTTTTCATCATTCAATGCTATCCTTCCCATGTTTTTGCTGATTGTTTATTTGGGGGGTGGGAACTTTGGGGCTACACCCAGCAGCTAGCCCTTAATCCTGATTCTGTGTCAGGGATCACTCCTTACAGTGCTAGGTGACCATAAGCGATGCAGGGGACCAAACTGTGGTTAGCCATAATCAAGGTAAGCACCTTAACCCTGTACTATCACTCTACCCCAAATCCTCCCCATGTTTCAATGCTACACATAACCTATAAGTATTACATATTACATCCAGTCTTCGTCCTTCTACCTCTGGCTTATTTCATGATACCCTCCTGTTCCATACAAGTTGCAGATACTGGAAGATTTTATCTTTTCTTATATATAGATACTAAGCATCTTTTAAAATATAGGTTCAGTACTAAGTACTATGTACTTATTACATGCATTTTCCAAGAACAATTTTTAGCAAAGAATTTGTGATTTTACTTAGTTTGCTTTTTACTGAAGTAATATTGCATTATAACATCATGTAAGTTTGAGTATATCAAACTAAAAATCAATGATATATATTACATAATTTAACCCTTAAGAGTTCATTTCTACATCATACAATTGTCCCCATTGTCCCAATAAACAATTCTTCCCTTCTAGCAATGGAAGCCTAAGACTGTAAGTCTAATTGGTCTGAAAGTACAAACTTTTATCTAATTTAACTCCTTGTTTTATCTATAAACCACATACAAGTGTATTCATACGGTATTTGCATTTCTCTGTCCAATGTCACTCAGCATAATAACCTCTAGGCCTATTTATATTGTGACAAATTATATTTAAGATTTCACCTTTTTAAAGTGATGAACAGTACAATATTAAAAATTCATAAACTATAATGCATTTCAATATATACACTATTTCATTGTTTGTGTATATCTATATGTATATACATATGTATACATACATTTTATCATTGTTGCTGGTCATTATAAATAATACTATACTAAGTATGAAGATTAAAATATTTTTTAATTAGCATTTTGGTCATTTTTAGGTAAATAGCCAAAAGTGATATAATTAGATCACATGTGATTTCTATTCTTAATTTTTTGAGGAATATTCATACTACTTTCCATATGGCATGAAGGATTTACAACATTTTATGAAGGATTAAAACCTGGCAAGGACAGCAAAGTCAAATTGCCTAAGTCAGGAGACTCGTTTTTATCTAGAAAATCAGGTTAAAGAAATTCTGAAAGCTTAACTAACCTGTTTGTCGTAATCACTGAAAAATTCTGATTATGTCCTTTCTCTTTGCATATTTTTTTTTTGCTTTTTGGGTCACACCCGGCAATGCACAGGGGTTACTCTTGGCGCATGCACTCAGGAATTACTCCTGGCAGTGCTCAGGGAACCATATAAGATGCTGGGAATCGAACCCGGGTCGACTGCGTGCAAGGCAAACGCCCTACCTGCTGTGCTATTGCTCCAGCCCCTCTTTGCATAATTTTTAAGCTTCCTTCAAACCCTGCTTCAATCTTGCCTTCTCAATTATGTTTTTCCTGATACTAAGACAATTATAAAGTTCATGTATTTTTGCTTAATATAGTGTAACTGTGCCAGATTAATGCTAACTTTACCAAATCTGGTTTTCTCTTGTTATTTTACATTTGTCTTATGTACAAAATGACTGCTTAATTAATTCTACCTACCCATCTTGAAAACACATGCATTTCCAAATTTATTCTTTGATAGTTCTCTCAAGTGATGATTAAAAATTTATACAGTACTAACATTTTGGGTAAGAAAGGGAAGAGGTTTGGGCCACTTGCAGTTGTTCTCAAGGCTTACTCTGGCTCTGTGCTTATTAGGGATTACTTCTAGAAGTGTCCAGGACCTTATGGTGCCAGGGAATCAAACCAGGGTTTACTGTGTGCAAAGTAAGCCCCTTAACCTCTGTACTGTCTCTTGGCTCCCATTTAGTGCAGACTTTGTGCAGACACTGTTCTAAGAACTTTAAGATAGAAATCATAACAAAATCATGGCACAGATTTTATCCTCTGCCATCTTGTATTCTAAGAACTAAGAACTGACTCTTTTAACTCTATGAAATAAGGACTATTGTTATAATTCTTATTTTACAGGTAAACACACGATCCCAGAAAGACCATGACACTTAAGCAATGTAACATATTTTATTGGAATTCAGGCAGTTTGTCTCAAAAGCTCATGTTCTTAATTAGAAAGCTAGACTTCAAGAGAAGGACCACATGGAGGGTGTGGGAAGCACAGATCCTGGAGGAAAAAGAAAAAAAAAAAAACAGGTTCCAAAAAGAGCCGAGATCACCGGCAAGTTCCAGATGGAGTAGGTGCCGCATCCCGCCTCCCCCAGATGGAACCCCGGTGACCAGAAGCCTCTACAAACACAGCTCGAGTATGCGGGAACGAGGACTTTTTCTCAAATCTGCCGGACTACACCTCCCAGGTAACCTCTGATTCCGGAAGTCACGCCCACAGCCCGCCCCCCAGCGCCATCTTTGAAGCGTTCAGTCTAAGAGAAGGACCACACGGAGGGTGCGGGAACCACAGATCCCGGAGGAAAAAGAAAAAAAAAAAAACAGGTTCCAAAAAGAGCCGAGATCACCGGCAAGTTCCAGATGGAGTAGGTGCCGCATCCCGCCTCCCCCAGATGGAACCCCGGTGACCAGAAGCCTCTACAAGCACAGCTCGAGTATGCGGGAACTAGGACTTTTCCTCCAAACCGCGTGGCCACATAAGCGGCCGCGCGACATCTCTCTATATACAAAGTGATCAATGAGAAGTAAACCACCCAATCTTTCTCCCTGAAAATCAGAGTTAAGTTTGGAGCACGGCCACAGCCCCAGAAACACAAGGACTTAATGCAGAACCCAGCAGCTTAGAGCAGAAAAGTGAATGGACGATGCGTTAACCCAGGCCATCATTTCTGCCCAGAGGGGAAAGAGTGTTGCCCCATTCACCCTCTCTTCTCTGGAAAGAAGGATGGCAGCCGCATGGGAGCCTTGTGGACAGCAGGTATGAGCCAGGGGTGTGGGGGCGACTAAAACCTCATGGGAAGGGGTGTGTTCCGGTCCGTCCTTCACGCCCTACCGAGGTCACCAGTTGCCCCCCACGAGCGGCTCCCCAGCACGGCCACAGCCCCAGAAGCACAAGGACTTAATGCAGAACCCAGCAGCTTGGAGCAGAAAAGTGAAAGGACTATGCGTTAATCCAGGCAATCATTTCTGCCCAGAGGGGAAAGGGTGTTGCTCCCTTCCGCCCTCCTCCCTCTGGAAAGAAAGATGGCGGCCACATGGGAGCCTTGTGGACAGCAGGTATGAGCCGGGGGTGTGGGGGCGACTAGAACCTCATGGGAAGGGGGGGCGTTCCGGTCCGTCCTTCACGCCCTACCGAGGTCACCAGTCGCCCCCCACGAGCGGCTCTCCAGCACAGCCACGGCCCCAGAAGCACAAGGACTTAATGCAGAACCCAGCAGCTTGGAGCAGAAAAGTGAATGGACTATGCGTTGATCCAGGCCATCAAGTCTGCCGGAGGGGAAAGGGTGTGCCCCATTCACCCTCTCCTCTCTGGAAAGAAAGATGGCAGCCACATGGGAGCCTTGTGGACAGCAGGTATGAGCCGGGGGAGTGGGGGTGACTAAAACCTCATGGGTCGGGGGGCGTTCCGGTCAGTCCTTCACGCCCTACCGAGGTCACCAGTCGCCCCCCGCGAGCG